TGTTTTTGCAAATCCCGCCAGATAACCTTCATGGCAGGATCGCGTGTTCTTTGATATTGTCTCCTACGGACATTTTTAAGACGGATCAAGAGCTGAAGATCATCGTCTATTATAATTAAATCGAATTTAACCTCGCATTTTGGTACTGAGGCAGCTCTTGCTTCAACTATAGAAGTAGTCAGAGATTCAAGAGCATAATTAATTTCATCTTTGGTTTGCAAAGGAATGTTTGGATCGAAGTTATATTCCATAAATGTTCGATACTGCTCCCAATCAGCTCTATGGTAATTGAAAGTAGAGCTGTTGGGATTAGAAATTATTTCTTGGGATATTTCAAAAGTTACTGGAAGGTGATCAGAACCAAAGTCAGCATGGGTAACCAGTTGGCTACAAAGTTGACATGAATCAGTTAAGACCAAATCAATAGTGGAGGGATTTCTTGCAGAAGAAAAGCATGTTGGGCTGTTTGGATATTGAATAGTGTAATAACCTGCAGAACAATCATCAAACAGAATATTACCATTGGAATTGCTTTGAGCATTATTCCATGAGCGGTGTTTTGCATTAAAATCACCAATTATGAAGAATTTAGACCTATGACGGGTAAGTTTCTGGAGGTCACCCTTGAGAAAATTCTTTTGCTGGCCTACGCATCGGAATGGCAAATAGGCAGCTATAAACGTAAGTTGTCCAAATTTTGTTTCAACAGAAACTCCCAAAGTTTCAAAAACTTTGGTTTCAAATGAAGAAAGAATTTTATGTTTGATTCGTCTATGAATAATGATGGCAACGCCACCACAGGGTCCATCAAGACGATCATTTCTATAAATCAAGTAATTTGCGTCCTTCTTAACCTTATGGATTTTCCTTATTAGAGAGTTGTATAGATTTTTCTCCTTTAGCTTACTTAAATCTTTGGTTTTTATTAGTTAGGTAGGTTCCGATTCAACACATTGTAGTTTCATTTTTATACCTATGATCTTGACTTTTTTTACCTATGGGATGAGTACTTAAGGGGGTTAGATTTTGATAAGTTCTTTAGTGGGAATGACACTGATGAAGACTGCACATTGTAGTCGAAATACGTATCTGTCATGGATACCAAAATTAATTAAGTGGAATTAAATGGAAGATAACCTTTTTTGCTGTTTTATTTAGCATTCCGCTAACAACCCAATTTCATTACTTCCTTATGGTCAGGTTTAAGGAACGTTTCAGTTATAACGCCAATATGCACGTTATGAACTCTCAAAAAATTAAATAGCTCGTCTTCATTATCTTTAAGAGATCGAGCATTCCAATTCACAATATTTAATGCTTTAAAATCCATTACTGAATTTTAAAGTCATGACAATATTATTTGCAAATTTTACTCCAGTTTGAATTGCATCAAACATGGACTTAGATTTAAGCATATCAGAAATCATGTCAATTAATGAATTCTGTAAAAATTCCATTTTCGGGGCAGTAATGCTTCCTAAGTCAAAATTGTCAAAATTTCCGTTAGAACGTTGGTTAGTATTTTGATTCCTACCCGTTGTAAAAGCAGCATAGGTAGCTCCATTAACTCGCTGAACATTGTTAGCAGCGAGGGGAGTAGATACAGATGAAAAATTTGAAGCAGGGGTGATATTTGTACCTACGGGTACGAATGTAGAATTTGTTCCTCGCTGACCGTTGTTAACAGCAGAGGAATTTGTACCTGGTCGGAAACGTGGAGCGTTTCCTACCTGTCGGTTAGAACGAGATTGTAGGATCGCTTTGCGAGTCTTACATTCCCAAAAATTGGATTTGTGGTTTTCACCACAATTTGAACATTTAAATGTCTTAGGATCTTCCTTCACAGGACAGTCGTCCTTGCGTGAGAGGAATCACCACAATTCATGCATTTAGCTGGCATGTAGCAATTTTTAGTTCCGTGACCCCATCCCTGGCACTTACGGCACTGAGTGAGGTTTTTGAAATTTCCTCCAGTCTTCCTGAAGTGTTCCCACTTCACTCGGACATGGAGCATAAGGCTAGCTTTTTCTAAGGCCTTAAGGTTGTTTAGTTCACTAGACTTGAAGTGAACTAAATAAAAATCATTAGAAATCCCGTTGCGCGAATCACCAGGACGGGATTTCATTTTCATTTTGATTACTTGGAGTGGCACAACTCCAAGTAATTTTGCCAGTTCATCTTTGATCTGATCCAGGGATTCACCGCTGGGCAGTCCTTTCATGACAACCTTGAACACACGTTCAGTAAGATACTTGAGAAGACATTTAAATCCGTCCAAGGTTTCAGCCAATACACGGCATTCACTCCGACGTCCAATTTGTAGAGAAAACTTAACTTTCACGAAGTTCAAAAGTTCCATGCGAAGAGCATGGAAATCGGAAGTGGTTATCACAATAGGGGGAATCTTTTCCTTCTTGGCATTGAGCCGGGAAGAAAGTTTACTAGAATTTTTCTTGGATGATGGATCATTCTCATCATCCGTGAGCAAATCAAATTGATTACTCAAATTAATTTCTTCAGAAGGGGGGTCAAGAGTTTGCCCCTTTCTTTTGCGTTTAGGCGCCATGGCGGCAGTAAATTTTTATCCAAATCGACTTCCAAGCAGATTACTATAAGAATCTGAAGGATCGAAGAGGAATTTTCCAAATCGATATCCAAGAAGGATTACCTCGGGTAGGGTCCAAACAAGGATCAAAGAAGAATAAGAGTTGAAAAGGTAGAAAATTTTTACAGGTTGAGCACTGAAAAGTGCTGTTTAAATTTGTTGTAGCTTTAGGTAGTAGTAACACTTCCTTCAGCAAAAAGCAAATAGATCCGCACGGCAAGAGAGCACGTTGCGGACTGTGATTGTTAAAACATTTAAAAATCATCTGCTCTCCACCACAATGCAGTGATAGGCAAAATCCACTGATCTATTTTTCAATCGATAAAAGCATTCAAGAAATCTTTGAAAAGTACTCCAACATTTAATCATTGTGTGAATTGGATTTTTATTTATTTATTGTTTGTGCTATGAAATCATTTGACATCAATAGTATTTGTTCATATATTTTGATATTTTGGCGTTTGTAAACAAATCTCTTAGCGTCAAAAGTGTTTGTCCAAACGTCCAATATATTTATTATGGCCTCAGATAGCCTAGGTATTACCAAGTCGGAGGCAGAGGGTTCGATTCTTGGTCCGGTCGAGGGAATCTCGGGTTGAAAATTTTCTCGACTTCCCTGTGAATAGAGTATCATTGTGCTTGCCACACAATATACTAATTCATGCATTGGTCGGCATAGAAAACGCTCAATTAATAACTGTGGAAGTGCATCTTAAACACTAAGTTGAGAGCAGGCGAAAAGCTCGTACAAAGGGCGTCAAAGCCATGTGAATTATAATTGGATCAGAATACTACAAAATACTAGATCTATAGGATTGTTTAGATTGGAAGATGCAAAGTTCTCTGTTCAAAGCAATTTAACGGCAAATTCGGGTGTACTACGTACCTTCACCCAGGAAAAGTGATTACAAAGCAAATCCGCTATCCCTATCAACAATCCAACCTTAGAGATAATCATACCACAAGAAAACTCATGTTGCAAGTTCATAATTCAGAAACGAAGGAACCTGTTTTTGGAATCAAGGGCTTGAGCGTTCTCACTGGCATTCCAGATTTTGACATTATCAAAGGGTTGCCACCAGATTACATGCATTATTTCAAAGTATTATTTCAAAGGGATTAAAGTGTGCACCAAATATTTATGTAAGAGCTTTAACTACGATGATTCATTCATTTCTCTAAATGGTGTTTTTTTTTAAGTATCCATCGGTTGCTAATCGATTCTAGAAAAATGCTTATGTTTTAGGAAATTTGTTATCTACAACAAAAGTTTTCGAAAACATGATTTGTTTTTGTTTTTGTTTGTTTTACGCACTAAGTAAAAGAGTAAAAGATTGTTTTACCATGTGTACAATAGGGTGTTTCATTTTGAAAAAAGTGATGAATTTTTGATAGGCCACCCTCCAGTTCGATTCATAGCCCCAAAATATGAACCTGTGCAAAAAATGGTAAAGATTGATGAAGGTTTAGAGGTCGCGCCAATGATTTGGATTTTGTATGGAGATTTTGGTGAATTAGTATGGGAAATTATTGATTTTCGTTTACATTGCTCTAACTTTGGTTGTAGTTGTCCAAACGTTGAAAAAAAAAAATATGTGGTTGTCATGACAATGATCAACAAGCCTGTTGTTGTTGCGATGAAATTGGCGTTGTTGCCTTGTACATATTCATCTGTCAATTTACCCTATTTTGCCATTTTTTCACATTTTTATAATTCTTGATACGCTGCAAAACTGAGCGTAGCAACTGTAGGCTTTTTGTTTATTGCCATAGCAATAACATACTAAATTTTTTCGACATTTGGACAAGTAGAAGCAAAGTTATAGCGATATAAGCGATTTTTTAAATTCTTCCATAGTAATTCCCATACAAATTTCAAATCATTGGCGCGACCTCTAAACCTTCATCAATCTTTACCAATTTTTGCACAGGTTCATATTTTGGGGCTATGAATCGAACTGGAGGGTGGCCCATCAGAAATTCATCACTTTTTTCAGAATGAAGCACCCTAGTGTACAAGTTGTTTGCGTTTATTCACTAATAACTACAAAAACATGAAGATTTCTAAATGAATCACAGGTGTACGCTCAATTTTGAGACTGACTGTATGTCAGTTATAACAAAGTAAGGATAGTGAAATAATAATTTTGTGGTGATAGCCCAGGTCAAGGACTCAATGACGATGATTAATTGTTCAGGAAAAAAAAAATCAAACATTGTTCAAACTCGTTTGATAAGAAAATGGATTCCCCCTGGTATGGCTTACATCATATTCAAATCCATACCAGAATTCCTAATCGTAGCCTACCACATAATTCTTATCTTTCCAGCACAGAACGTCGGTTGTCGGTGCAACTCTCATTTTTAAGTATCATCAATCCAAGGTTATCAGTAAGTATAACATGCAGCCTCACAATCGGGGCATCTTCAACGCAGTGTGTCGCCGGAGAGCATGTTGCGAACATGTTCAAGAGCACTGTTTCTTCAAGGGTGAGCCACATTTACGCGTTTTCGTTCTGTTTCACCGTCCTCGTTGTCGGGGCTTCGTTGGCATCGGTCCGAAGTGATTCCGCTGCCAACACCACCGTGGTTGAGTCCAGGATTTACCGAGATGGTGTCTGCAGTAGGGTGAGTCCGGTTCTCGAGAATAGAATAGGATTTGGCGATTATGCCATGCAAGGAGAATGGCCCTGGCATGGGGCTATGTTTGTTGTGGAAGATTACAAGTGCGGATGTTCGTTGATTAGCGAGTGGTTCGTCCTGACTGCGGGTCATTGTGTGTTCAATCCAGAAACGAACTATAAATTCGACCTGAAGAGGCTACGCGTAGTGTTGGGGCTGCTCACGTTAAATGAGTACCAAAGTCACACTCGGGAGCACAAAGTGAAGGAAATAAGAGTTCATCCGATGTTCGAAACGGGCAATCACAAGCACGATATAGCCCTGTTGCTGTTGGCCACGGCTGTCGAATTCAACCAACAGATTCACCCGATCGAAGTCGACTTCAGCAAGCCACCGTGGATCGAAAAGGTGGCTGGCAATTTGGGAACGGTCGTTGGGTGGGGACTCACCGATGCGGACAAAGTCTCGAACGAGCTCATGGTGGCTGAAATGCCGATCGTTCGCTACGCGGAATGCATTGAAAGCGATCCCCACCTGTTCGGGCTATTGGTACACGGAGGGATGTACTGCGCTGGAGCTCGGAATGGTGCGAATTTAAGTGTTATTTTTTTACATCGATGAGCGTGCTAATGTTCGGTTGGTATTGGATCGTTTCAGGGACCAGCGTCTGTAACGGGGACAGCGGTGGAGGAATGTATATTTTTCAAAACAATGGCTGGATCCTACGAGGAGTGGTTTCATTTGCCGCAATTCGAGACGGCACTAATCTGTGCAATCTGTACAGCTATGCAGCGTTCACTAATGTGCCATACTATACGGAATGGATACAAAGCCAAATGCAAGAACACCAACGGAAGTTAACGGATTCGATGCCGGAGCAGAATAATATTACTGGTAAAGGTAATGGTTGTATTTCTTTAAAAACTTTCCTATTGGGCTAGCTACTTTCACTAGGGGTAAATATTTGTCAGTGGAGTTCATTTGTCTGACAACTTTGAGTCCGTTTCCGGCCTCACATGTTTACGGAATACAGTTTGATTGTAGGCAGTGATTTATTCATGTCGAAAAAGCATACAAGATTTGGAACTTTTTTACTTGAAATGAGTTTTTAATATGATTTTAAAAGAGACTGCTATAAATTGATTACCTTCGCTGATGCTATGTTCTTCTTCGCTATTGATCGTGTTCAAAATAGCACATTGGCGATGCAAGATATTTTTCTAAGGGGTCCAGACGCAGAGTTGACAAGTGAGCATCATTGGATTATTTGAAAATATGGTTATTCAAGTTGTAAGTAATGCTTATCCGAGATATGAAAAGAATATATACAAAGATTGATTAATCTAATAATAGTCAAACGCAAAACTTCAGAATGAACAATCAAAGCAAGTCTTCCTAAAAAATGCATGTTCAAAATAACAAAAAAAAAAAAAATTAGTGTGTCCAAATCACTATCGCACCGTTGACGTAGGAGGCTGTTTTTGTTGCTCAGTTCAATAATAATGGATCAATGAAAATGCTGAGGTTTTTACAGAACTGTGCTGTGCCTTCCACAGTATTTTACATGTGATCATCCATATACAGTAGCGCCAAAAGCATGCTGTGGTGGTTTTCAAAACTTGACCATCTAAATTAACCAAGAGCCCCGTAACGTGGGTACATCACCTTTTCGTGGTACGTTACGGGATGTAAAATCTACCACCGATTCCTAGTCCTGACTACTACAAACTAGAGGAACAGGATTTTTCAGTAATCCAAGGTACACATCTTAGTCCTTGTTACTTTTTATGGCTTATTGATAGTGACAAAACTCGGCTTTGTCCACCGAGGATGATCTTGAAACAAGGAAAAAATGAGTTAGTTAGTCTGTGATTGCTAATCTTCTATTCGTTGTTTCTAGTTTGAAGTGGTTAAGACTAGGGTTCTGATGCATGGTCATTATCGATGTCATTCCTTAATTTTGTTGCTAAGGATTCCAATTTTGACTGACAAAGGGGCGCGCCTTTGTAGAGTGGTTCACCACTCCCAAGGGAATAAATATCGGGACCTTTCAATTAGAGTCGGATCCTTGCGATAAATGCGAGAATGACAACTGTAAAAAAAAATCGAATGCTTCATCATTTCTCAATAGTGATGGAGTAATACGAAATGCACTTATTTAAGGACACGGTACATACTACAATTCATGAAATTACTGGTCGCAGTGGTGTTAGGCTCCGAACAGAGGAAAAAAAGATCAATTACATAAATCATAATTTAAAAATCTAATAAAAAACCAATAAAATAATATTCTAAAATATTTTTTTTTTAAATAATGCCATATATCATAAAATTCAATTTTTTTTAAATTCAGTTTCTATCCCATTCAACGTAAGACTCCAAACACGTGCATTCAACTTTCAATGACAGATTATTTAAAATTATTTCATGTTGCCAATTAAAATGCATTTGATGTAACAACCCGGTTTAAAAATTTACCATTTTTTCCGTTTTATCGGTTAAAAGCATACAAAAACCATATAATGTCACTGTATTATACCTTGTTTTCGAAGGCTGTAAATTTCTCTAGCGTCATCTGTCAATTTTTAATAAAATTACGTATAATGGAGGAAGCTTGTAACTAGAGCAACATGTGAAAAGGACCTGAGTGCTAAATGTAAACGATTATTTTAAACGTGGATTTCTCGTGAATATTGATTCATTCTAGCAAACCGACACCAACAAGTTTGCTCTATCAGATGATATAACTAGTTTGTGTGGGTGTGTTGTAATTTGTGAACAATATACGTTTAAATGCATTGTCTACGTTGGCTTTAAGCCTTTTCACATGTTGCTTGAGAAGGTTATGGTGGTTCCAAATATGTGTAACTCCTGGTCATTCACCAAAATCAGTCTAGTTACATGCCATACAATTGCACGTTCGATCGCGAACAGCATCATTTTTTTACGTAGAACTACGTCTTTGTCGACTATAATGGGGTGCAAATCAAAAAATATGTATGGTAGAATAGTGTTAGGTTTTGAACGATTGTAACTTTGTCATTTAAATATGAAATTAAAATCCAAAAACGTCAATCGATAGGATATTACTTTATAAATCTGCACACTTAGAAATTCCTAATTTCACACGTGACGGAGTCCATCTTTGACATAAAGCATACGACGTAAACAAACAAGTCATGTAAAATTAAGTACTCTGAGACTGAAAAGTTTGAGCTGAATTTCGCGTCTATTATGACTCAATTTTATGTCAAAATTGACGCTCGTATATGTCAGTCTCAGAGCACCTAAATTTACATGATTTTTTCAAAGTGTGTGCTGAAATAAAAACTTTTCCAATTTTCCATAAAACAACGTTTGGAAAATGTACAAATAATTTTATCACTGTTTTCATGAAATAAACGTTTTCCAAACCCAGTCCTCATAATCGAGTACCACTTGTTTGTACATCGTTCTGCTTAAACCTGAACTGATGTAAAACAGCACTGCTGTCGTGCATCTGCTCATTACCGCTCCAGACGGCGTGACACTGGGTCCTGCAGTAAGCAGAAGCAAGGCAGCGATTAATGTGGTGTTTACATCTATCCGGATTTGCTAGCACTAACACCCCAACTCCCCCTATAATGACAGCCTTAAAAAGACATGAACTTTGACGATCACTTTTTTCCGACAAATAACAATTGACAAACTACAGTAAAGGAAACAAACTAATCAAGTAAAATTAATTTTACCCTCTACTACACAGAGAGCCAAAACATTCAGTTAGTGATTTATCAACAACTGACAATAAAACATATCTCGTACCTCTATATATACAATGAGATAAACATCAGAAGTCCGTCCTTTTTTACATATTCTGCACAAAAAAAAATATTGTCTAAGCTCCGCCCCTGACAGGATTTTCCGCCGTTTTTTTTATGAATGGGGCAGGGCAGAGAGTATCTTTTGTTCAGAATATGTACGGATGTTAATCTAATTGCATATATAGAGGTACCATATATGTTTTACAGTCAGTTGGATGCGTCAGGCAGACGGACAATCCAAGACCACTGCAGAGAGAGTTCGGTGTTCTCAAGCCAACATGAAAGCAGTCAGAGGTAATGCGTCACCATCTACTGATTGGGACGCTGGAGAAGGTCCTTCAACATGAGGTAGGAAATTCAAATAAATGTGTAACAACCTTTGGAATCGCATACGTTCGACACGTAAGGTAGAGCAATGAATTTTTTTTTGGACCTATCCAAAAATGATTCATGTTGGACCTATTTTTACTAGCGGTAATTTAGTTCAATAAATTCTAAGAATCTTCTTCCACAAGCTGCTACAACTTCTTCTTAAACCTCATAACTATAAAGAAAAATATTTGTTTTAATGATTAACATAGGTTCGGTTTTAAAAAAAGGTCACTTTTAACTAATTTTCTCATCAACATGGCTCACTTTTGAACGTTCACAAGACGAATGTTTACTTGCATTTTCAATTTTTTTTTGTGCTTTATAATACTACTAAAAGATATAAACTTCATGCTGGCATACATTAATGTAATCAAAAGTTTGAATATTTGACAAAATCCATAATTTATATTTGTATCATGGTTGGACCTAGATGTTTCCTGCATTGGCTGTCAGGTGTGCTTACAATTTCCTTCGCGCGCAGCAACATGATTTTCTGTTTACTTTCCTAGTCACAATTTTTTTCAAGCAGAGCATAGAGGAAGTAGATAAATTCTCATGTGATTTGAGGCATCGCATCGCATAATGATCCAAGTCTAAAACTGGCTTCCCTAGGGGTTTTCGGAAATTGATTGGATTCTGTATATACCTAATAACTACCATTGAACTGGTTGTTGAATTTTAATGTGATTCAATGGTTGTTGACCATATTCAGAAACTGGCCACTTCATCGAGGGGGGGGAGGGGGGATCGAAACATTGCCAGGTATGGTCAATATGGCACTGGACCCCCCTCAAATTACTACCATTGAACTAGTTTTTTTATTCTAATGTAAATTGAGGTGTCAAATGATAAGTTTTATTTGTTTAAGGTCGCAATCAGCCTCATGCCTCATATAAACCGTAGCAAGTTCCTGTCATATTTCCGGAACGGGTTGACCGATTCCAAAAAATATGTGCTCCATGTGACGATAATACCTTTCATTTAACGGCTGTTGAGCATACGAATGGTACTGTATATAATAGGTCCATCCAACATTATTTATTCTTTAGTATTATTAGAAACCTGAAACACACATTTTTCATGTCCATATGTTATATTCATAGAAAAAAGGCATACATTTAGACGCAGTCCGAAAATGACAACCCAGACAACCAGAAGTTGTATAACAATGTGCAGACAGTATCGTAAATTGCTAAAGTTGAAGTCAACATCACATATAAGAACGGCATGCATCGCATTATGTTTAAGTTAAATCGTATAGAATGCAAATTTCCGACCAATATGCGATGATTCATTTTTTCGTCGTACGTATCACAAATCAAATCGGATTACATCGTATGACTTTTCAAAGTGAATGTGTTATTACAGATTAAATCGTATATGATGTTAAATCAACCCATTTAAAATTAAATAAAAATTTGCATGTATAAGCCATGTCTTTGCATTCTATACGATTTGTTTGTTTGTATATATGTTTGTACATCACGAAAACAACTTTGAATATACGTGCATTCTGGTTGTCTGGGAAATAGGTCCACCAAAAACCCTACACCGGGGCATGTTGAAACGCGTGGAAGTTGAAACGGTAGATGTATCTCATAGCGGAAGTGAATAATCACTGAGATTATTTCTAATATATTAGTTTGCGGTAGTACAGAATGCCTCTCAAAAATAAGTACAGTGAATATTCACTTCCACTAAGAGATAAACGTATCGTTTCAACTTACCCCGGTTTACCTTAACTATGATGCTTACTATCAAAACATTGAACAGATGGAGAACCTGTATACGAGCTTTTGCTCTGACTTTGAAACTCAATAACTGAATCTCGCTAATTTTCAATTAATGTTTTACTAAGCACCTACTTATCGGAAACCAAACGTATGATTTGAGAAAATTCACTGTAATCTATTTTGTATCATTCTACAAACACGCTACATAATGATGATATGTGATCATTTTATGTTCGGGTTGTCCACCAAATTGAAGAATAAAGAGGTGCTTAAACCTCGTATGATCGTTATACCCCTTCCTCCCCTACTTCTCTGACATATGTACCAACATTTTGTTCAATATTGAAAGTACCGTCTTCTGATAAGAAAAACAACTGCCTGTTGCGTTATCATAAAATGCAACCTTCACTCTCTTGTTTACTTCAGAGACCTAATTTAAAAATAATAATGGAGCTACTGAAAAAAATGAACGTATTTTTTGGCAATTGTTTTTTTTCCGACAACATGCATGGCGTCTTTGTGGTGCTACTCCAAAATATATAACGGCACATTTGAATTTTCATAACTTATTACATTCCAGGAAAAATACTTGAACCAACATTGAACCATAACCGAAACATTGAAATACTTGAAAAATTTAAAATATAGTAAAAAGGTCAAAAATGCATGACATACTTCAATTTTGTGTTGTTCTACGTCATACTGTCTCCTCAGGGCCCGAGGAAAACAACCTATGCGACCCGTTGAGACATCTTGGCGAGCCAAGATCTCGACTATTGCAATTTAATTTATGTGTTTTTAAAACGGATAGATCTGAGGATTTAGTAGTTAGTGTCATCTTGTGTTCTCCCAAGTTGTTAGCTGCCCATCGGTATACCCCCATGTTTGTCTTTTTCATTAGAGTGTCACTTAGTTCAAGATCAAGAGCATATTGCTCTCCAAACCTTGTGTTCTCAATCCCTACCCTGACATCCATTTGTTACAATTTGTTACCCCTAACCTCGAGATAGCCGCGAGTAATCGGCCTCCGCTTTACTAACGTTAGTTTTAAGAAATTTTGTAATCTAAGCAATGAACATCGGCTCCGCAAAGCTACGGCAAATGCGTCTGGAAAAATAAACGCATTATAAAAAAAAACGTCATACTGCAGTCGTGTCTAGGACACAACCCTTTCATTTTTCTTCTAAAACACACCACCCTCGATCAAAAGCTTGGTTCAACACACCAACCGAACAATAGATCACGCATAATTGAGGTCATACAGAAAACAATGCAGGGGAACACATTTCTATTGTGATCAAGCACCACTGCACCAACAACTCAAGACAAAACGAATGCAAAATAAATAAATCAATTAAATGTGCGTCAGGCCTGGGCTACAATAAAAATGCGACCGACTGGATCAACTTCTTTGACGACATCCTAGGGAGAAGGCCAGAGTACAGTTTCACATTACGTGATAAAAAATTGATTTTCTTCCAGGTATTCTTCTGAGAATCGGTTTTATGAAATCATCGCTAGAATTAATATAAATGGTTGAAAGTGGAGACCAATTGGAACAACATTCTCATTGCTAGGCAGTCGAAAAGGTTGATTAATCCGAGCATTTCAATGACAAGCAAAATTCTTGAACTATCAAAGAAAGATCTCAGTATGTACACTGGTTTAATAACAGGACACTGTCGATGTAAATATCACTTGAAGCTAATAGGAAAACTTCAAGAGGTTAGGTTAGGTTATTTTTATTAGCGAGACTTTCAGCCAGAGGCTGGTTTATCTCTTCTTCAAGAGGACATGTGTCGATTATGTGGCAAATGAAAAGAAGACTCTGAACACCTGCTATGCTCTTGTACAGCAATCTTCGATAAGAGGCGTATTTTTCTGGATAAGGGGCTGACAGGACCCTTTGATATTTGGAATTCAGTTCCCAGCCAAGTATTGCAATTCATTTGAAATGTAATACTTGCTGCTTTCGGTCAGTCTATGTCGGTCGCTTCACAAAATGGTGATACGACATGCTGATAAAGCAATATTAAAACGGGGAATATATCACAATACATCTAAGTACTGGTCAGAATACCCAACACGAAAAAAAAAGGTTGATGTTAATCTTAATGTGCATTAAAAGTTTCTTCTATTTTTTTCAGCTGATCCTGATACAAAACCACGATCATCAATAAAAGAAACAACGACCGCCACCGCAACTATCCAAGAGTCCGACCCGTTCACCCCACAACCTATCAAAATCCCTCCTTCGGAATGTCTCCAGCATTACGACGAAACCATCACCGTTGAGTACGGATCAAGCATATCGCTCCTCTGCCGTCACAGCTTCAACGGACAAGAGCAATCGGTCCATTGGTTCCGCGAAGACAGATACCTTAGGCTGCTCAATCTTTCCAACGAAGTTGACTTTGCTGGTTCGGTGGTTCACGATATCCTCACGCTACGGCACGTTGAAGCCAGCCACTCGGGAAGGTATTTCTGTCGAGTTCAGCTACCAAACGAAAACGTTACCGACAATCGGGTCATCTCCGTTGTTGGAGTAGTGCCACGATTTGAGCCCAAAGCTGATAAGCCCGCTTATATGAAGTTTGTCAATTACCTGATGCAGGGTTACTTCAGCTTGGAAGTGACGTTCAAGGCCGACCGAGAAGATGGGGTGTTATTCTATCGTAGCGACGAGTGGGGACAGGAGATGATGATGCTCGCTCTTGTCAACTGTAGTTTGGAGTTTAATTTGCTTACTAATAAGGACGCGGTACGGAGAGTGGATAGTGGAGCGGAAACCGTCAAACTTGGGCAATGGCACACCGTGGAGATTCATTGCCATCTGGGAAGGTGCTACTTTGCTTTGGACGATCGAATACAGGCAATGTTCGAGGAAAATCTGTTCGTTTCGAATAGCACGATCGAGAACTTCTACCTGGGAGGTATTCCGCATCGCAATGGGAGTGGATTTACCGGTTGCATAAGTCAGATGGTATTGAATGATAATCGGTTTTATCTACGGAAGGAAGCGGTCGAAACGCAACTAGTGTCACAATGTGACCATTGCATGGTGAATCCTTGCCAGAATGGAGGTGTCTGTGTGGAGATGATGGCATCAAGTGGGTTCCATTGCATGTGTCCGGATGGATTTACAGGAAGAACCTGTTCCAATAGAGGAGAAAGATGCACCGCATTGGCCTGCGTGGAGTCAATATGCCGGGATTTTGAGAACGGATTTCGGTGTGCTTGTTCTCCGGAGAGAACTGGGAAGCATTGCCAAGAAACAAATGTACTCAGTGGCGATGCAATTTCTTTCCGGTATTTTGGATATGCGAAATATGTGTAAGTAGAATGTGTTTGGTTCACGACTTTTGGGCTTTGGTGTGTAGAATTTCAGTCATAAAAAGCCCGTGGTTTTAATTTTCTTTAGAGTTCATCACAAACAATAATCATTAAAATAACAATCAAATTGTAAGTTATTGCTATTCCATTGCAGAATAAACATTGAGACCAACTTCAACATACACATCCAGTTTTCGTTCAGGAACTTGGGTGACGGAATGATAGTAGCCCACATACTGGAGGATAACTCTGGCTCCGGAAACTTCCTAGCCCTTGTCATCGATCGTGGCATGATAGAGCTGCGATTCTCGCTAGACCTAGATGTAAACGTTTCCATACTGAAGTCATCCGTTCCCCTGCATCCAAACTCGTGGTATACTGCAGCGGCCGGCTATCAGAAGGGCTCCGTATACTTCCAACTCAACGATGAACCAACACTAACAGAAAGCATCTCCAAGAATCTCTTCTCCCACCATCGTGACCATTTCCTGTACCTGGGAGGTCTGGACGACAGTGTACCGCAGTATCGAATTCCCGGCAAGTTTTCTGACAAGGCCACCGACTTCGATGGCTGTTTGAAAGAGGTAGGTCAAGTTTGTTTGCACTGGACATCGGTAATAAAAAGTTTCCTTTTGTTGCTAATGACTCGTTTCAGCTGAAAATATCCAACCAAACGATAGACGTTACGAAAAGTTTCCTCTACGCTAGGAATGTAGAAAATTGTAAATAAATGAACCAACTTCTAGCTAAAGAGAAAACTTTCCCCAGGAAATTACTCTTTTAACGACATTCGGGCATCTGTCCACATTTCCTTCAACGGCAATAAAAATTAAACAGTAATTATAATTATTATTCTCTATCATTTCTCGGCTCGATTCGGCTGAAGTTGGTAACATTACACCGGATCAAACGACTCTCCCGCACTTCAGGGTTGGAAAATTTTACCCACCGTAAAGTATCACATTATTCTGCAATCACTTACAGTGCCCTCATCTGAATATGGTAACATCTGCTATGCTGGCGCCATAATGACCTCCCCATCCCTTCTCATGAGGGTGTAAAAAAATGGTGAATAAATCTGTTGCGGTTGTTCAATGCTGTTGCTGTGCAATAAGCGTGTCGACAGCGTGGAACTTGGTTTGTACATTTTGTTCCGCATCCCAATAAACAGGTACTCTGTAGGGATGGGCAAAACGGTTAATATCAATGAGCGGCTCAGAGCAGGAACCGGCTCATTTGAGCGGCTCATTGACTCTTTTTTTTAATAAATGATGAATTCAGATATGCATGAGTACGAAAACCAATAGAGTACACCGCACTATTTCGTGATTAGAAGAGAAAAAGAAATTTGTTCTTGAATCCAAAGTAGCAACACTGGTAAAGGGTGATACGGTCAAAATTTGGTCAATATCAACTTGACGTATTTCTTTCAATTTTGCATTTAAAAAACCTGAACACCCCTCATTTTGAAGGTGTGTGTGTGTAGAATGTTGCTCCTATTTTGATTTTGGAATTCACTCTTCAGTTGTCAAAATGCCGTCCAAGCAAGAAGAGCAGCGTATCAAAATTTTGCTCGCGCATCGCGAAAATCCGAGCTACTCGCACGCAAAGTTGGCAAAATCGCTAAAAGTTGCCAAATCAACCGTTACAAATGTAATTAAAGTGTTTGGGGAACGTTTGTCGACAGCTAGGAAGTCTGGATCGGGGGGAAATCGAAAACCGGAAGCCGCTGAGACGACAAAGAGAGTTGCCGGTAGTTTCAAGCGAAACCCTAACCTCTCTCTCCGAGATGCCGCAAATAAGCTGGGTGTATCGTCTACAACCGTGCATCGAGCCAAAAAACGAGCCGGACTATCGACTTACAAGAAGGTAGTGACTCCAAATCGCGATGATAAACAAAATACGACGGCCAAAGCGCGATCCCGGAGGCTGTACACGACGATGCTGACGAAGTTTGACTGCGTGGTAATGGACGACGAAACCTACGTCAAAGCCGACTACAAGCAGCTTCCGGGACAGGAGTTTTATACGGCAAAAGGAAGGGGAAAGGTAGCAAATGTTTTCAAGCACATGAAACTGTCAAAGTTCGCAAAGAAATATCTGGTTTGGCAAGCCATCTGTACCTGTGGCTTGAAAAGCAGCATTTTCATAGCTTCCGGGACGGTCAACCAAGAAATTTACGTGAAAGAGTGTTTGAATAAACGTCTGCTGCCTTTCCTGAAAAAACACGGTTGTTCCGTACTGTTTTGGCCGGATTTGGCATCTTGCCATTACGGTAAAAAGGCCATGGAGTGGTACGCCGCCAACAACGTGCAGGTGGTTCCCAAGGACAAGAACCCTCCCAACACGCCAGAGCTCCGCCCAATTGAGAAATACTGGGCTATTGTCAAGCGGAACCTAAAGAAGACCAAAAAACTGCTAAGGGCGAGCAGCAGTTCAAGGCAAACTGGCTTTCTGCGGCGAAGAAGGTGGACAAGGTGGCTGTACAAAATCTGATGGCAGGGGTCAAGCGTAAGGCCCGGCAATTCGCATTTGGAAAAGCGGAAGCCTAACTGAATATTTTTCCTGAATTTTATACTAATTGAACTTGAAAAAGAAATTTAATTTGATTTTTTAAATAAACGATTTCACCGATTTACACGCGTTTTCCCTTGACCAAATTTTGACCTATCACCCTTTACTAGCACAGTAACTGGTACTACCACAGAGGATATAAATATATCTGCTAAATGGGGGAATATTCTCTTTCTGGCATAATCGAGAGAAGAAAAGGGCGAACAAGCGAACACCAATGAGCAAGACACACTCGAAAATATGGCAACAGTTGTGACGAAAACTGGCCACACGGTTTGGACCAGTCTAGTAATAACGCAATTTCGCTGTTAGAAACGGAGGAATTGAATAGGAGTACAGTAAACAAAAACAAATCGAAACCTAAGGTGTACACAGTTAAAACTATTTTGTAATTTTACACGACTTTCCATGCACATAAAAAAACATGCATATTCATGTAAAATTAAATTGGTTTTAAAATTTCACGACTTGAAATGTACATGCATGTTCCCGTAGTAAGCCACCTTTCAATTTTGAAAGTAAACGTTTATTTGAGAGCCGTGGCTCAATTTCATAGAGCCGTGGCTCGTTCGCTCTTTTTAACGAACCGGGTACAATAAGCGGCTCGTGAGCATTCCCATTTCTAGTAACAGGCCGCCATCGGTATTCATATGCGTGGAAACGGATGGACGCAATTTACGAGACAAATGGACCCTCAATGGCAGATTCTCGCCCGTATCAACTTCACTACATATGCATCGGGCATGAAATGGCATTTTTAATGACGATAATTCACCATCACTACCATCAGCCATTCATACTGCAGTGATAGAATCAGAATAATGGCTGTCATTATTACTTCATGGAAATGTATTTTGTGGTTGAGATCTGACATTTGGGAAAAAAAATTTACAATTTACTTCAATTTTGATCCATTTGATGTTTTCGACCTAGTGTAGAGCACTACTTCAGCCTAATCGCCTATTTTGGGTCTATCCAGCAGAAAACATCAAATAAATCCATCGTTTCAGATTAAACAAGTTAATTATGCGTACGATACTTTAATTAAAAAACTACTGATTTCGGATTTACAATCGGAATCCGTCGTAGGATTCCCCATTAGGATCCGTCTTCGGATTCTCCATTGCGATCCGTCTTCGAATTCCCTATCGGGATCCGTCTTCGGATTCCCCAATCGGAATCCGCCTTTGTGTTTGGATTCCCCATTGCATCTAAAGATTTTCCATCAGGATCCGTGTTCGGATTCCCATCGAGATCTGGGGCCACATTGTGCATCTCGAAACGAAAAACTTTTTCATACAAGCGTTCGTACAAAAAGTCTTTCGTTTCGAAATTCACAATGTGACCCCTGTCATTGGATTCCTCACCGGTATCCATCGTCGGAATCCGTCATTGGATTCTCCATCGGAATCCGTATTTGGATTCCCTTTAGAATCCGTTTTAGAATTCTCCATCGGGATCCGTCATCGGATTTCCCATTGGGATCTGTCATCGGATTCCCCATCGAGATCCGTCCTACAGGATCCGTCCTACGGGATACCTCCTAAGGGAACCGTCCTACGGGATACGTCTTACGGGATCTGTTCTACGGGATCCGTCCTATGGGATTCGTCCTACGGGATCCGTCATCGAATTCCCCTTGGGGTTCATTATCAGATTCTCCATTGGGATCCGTCATTGGATTTTCTCTCGGGATCCGTCATCGGATTCCCCATCGGAATTCGTCATCGGATTCTCATCGGGAGCCGTCATCGGCCATTCGCCAACAGGTTGCATCATCGGATTCCCCATAGGGATCCGTCATCGGATTCCCCATAGGGATCCGTCATCGGATTCCCCATCGGGATCCGTCATCGGATTCCCCATAGGGATCCGTCATCGGATTCCCCATAGGGATCCGTCATCGGATTCCCCATAGGGATCCGTCTTTGAATTCTCCATAGGGATCGTGTTCAGATCTCCTATCAAGAACCTTCTTCGCGTTTGTCATCGAGACCCGTGTTGGGTTTTCCATCGGGATTCATCTTCGGAATCCATAATCGGATTCCCCATCGTGATCCGTCTTCGGAATCACCATCGAGATCCTTCCTCAAAGCAGAACCATTGAAGAAACTGCATTTTTCTTTGCAAATTAATCCACTGGTTGATACTGGTATCAGGAAGCCAGGCTTGGTAATAGCCAAAAAATAGTTCATTCCGTAATCCGGTATTTCGAAGAGGGCCAATACGTTCAGCAAATCACTCGGCAACACCAACAATATTATTTTCTCCAGCAGAAGGGAAAATAAAAAATCATGAAATGAAAAAACTTGCCATCCCATGAAATCAAAACAATGATTCATGATTTTGTGATGGAAATTTATCATGACCGCTACAAGTGTTACCTGGTCAACCGTGTTCACCGCATGGGTATCTGTTATACGCATTTTGCCTTCCATCTTATACAAGTACTGATAGTCTAGTGGGTAAAGTATCGGTATAATGGACGTAAGGTTCTTGGTTCGAATCCAGTCTGATCCTTTATATTATTGTTTCACATATTTTGGTTTAAAGCTAAAAGTTAAATTCATGAATTTAGGTCATGACTTCAACTCGGATGATTCATGATTCCGGGAATCTTGGGTGCGTTACGCAAACGTAGCTTATGATATCATAATTCATGGTGTATTTTCATAACATGAAAAAACGATATGTTCATGAAATCATGAGTCATTTTTCTAATGTCGAAGATTGGATTTGTACCCGTGCACAGGTGGATCGCCAAACAGTTTGGAATCGACAATTCGACCGTGCCTCGTGTGGTAAAATCGTTCAAGGAGATCCAGACGACCCAGCGGCGAGCTGACAGCGGAAGAAAAGCGAAGACGACCGATCCCGTGAACGCAAGGAAGGTGAGGGATTACTTCAAGCGCAATTCGAACCTTTCGATTCGGGACGTGGCCAAGAAGGTCAATACTCGTGTCTGGTTCGTCCAAAGGGGGACAAAGGTGAAAATATCATATGAAAAATTTTCACCTCCAATTATGATAAGAAGGGACCAAGATGAAAATATCATATGGAATATTTTCACCTCCAATTATGAAAAGAATGGGGACCAGATGAAAAAAAAAAATCATATGAAAAATTGTCACCTCTACCGCTCCTATTATGGCGACACTGTTTTGAGCCGCACCTCCATGGTGAACAGACGCTCGAAGACTGCACTCTCCGAAGAGAGGAGTCCCCCCAAGTAACAATTCTGCAATCATTTGGCATCCACTCTAATTTATGAT